AAAAAGTGATTTTGAAGGCATATATGCAAATTTAAAAATAGTTTGAGGAAAAATTGAGTATCAATAGCTGCCTCTCATTACCCGGGAAGGATGAAAGAGTTTTCGGGTAAAGAAATGATAGCCAATTTTGACCGTGCGAAACGGTTTGGGAAGATTTAGGCCGCACCCTGGCTTCTAAGGTGCCTACATATCCCTGGTTTCACAGGAATCAGGCTGTATGTAGTTCCAGATCCATCGCCGGAGTATACCGATGAAGCTATTTCAAGAACGGACGCCACATCTATGACTGGGTGAGTGAAAGGTTTATGGGAATGGTTAGGTTTGATATGGCTTGAGGGAACTGGAGCGGGATCGCTACTGTTGGGATAGCCGTTGCTCGCTGTTTCACCTGCAAATAGAAGCAATACAAGCGTATACTGTGCATAAATTTAAACATGACGCAAATTCCCGCCTGACCATGAATGTTGTCTTCGGATGATGCGGATGATGTCCTTAGACCATGATGTCCCGGGCCATGGAGCGTATGATAAGGGATTCGCAGGCCATGAAAATGATGTTCTTGGGCTATGAGGATGGTGCCTCCGAACCATGACGCCTTTGGATGAGTTGGCGATATTTCAGCCCATGAAGGATGCAGTATGAGGCGATCTTTCAGCCATGCAATGCAGTATGAGGCGATCTTTCAGCCATACAGATGCAGTATGAGGCGATCTTTCAGCCATGCAGATTCAGTATGAGGCGATCTTTCAGCCATGCAGATGCAGTATGTGGCAATCTTTCAGCCATGCAATGCAGTATGTGGCAATCTTTCAGCCATGCAATGCAGTATGAGGCGATCGTTCAGCCATGCAGATGCAATATGTGGCGATCTTTCAGCCATGCAGATGGGAAGGCAGAATAGTAGCCCTATGCAATGCGAATGCAGATGGAGACAACGTTTAGTCTCGGAAGGCAGAATGGTAGCCTTATGCAATGCAGATGCGGATGGAGACAACATTTAGTCTCGGAAGGCAGAATGGTAGCCATATGCAAATCAGAAATGGTAGCCTTATGCAATGCGGATGCAGATGGAGGTAGAGCTTAACCTCGGAAGGCAGAATGGTAGCCTTATGCAATGCAGATGTGGATGGAGGTAGCGTTTAACCTCGGAAGGCAGAATAGTATCCTTATGCAAATTGGAAGGCAGAATGGTAGCTTTATGCAATGCGGATGCAGATGGAGGTAAAGCTTAACCTCGGAAGGCAGAATGGTAGCCAGAATGGTAGCCTTATGCAATGTAGATGTGGATGGAGGTAGCGTTTAACCTCGGAAGGCAGAATAGTAGCCTTATGCAAGAAATAAAATAACAAATGACAGTGGAGTTTTCTTAGCTGAGAGTAGATTGTAGCGTTGTGATTACTGGGAGCATTGTGACTACGGAGCATTACTGGTGTGTGCTGATAGCAAATGTTGGCAAGTGCGACGGTTCGGAGAGTCGTATTCTTGAACAATGTTTGTTCCATAGGTGTACAATATGTTTAATGATTTCGCAATCCTAGCGCCTGCATCTAAAGAAAAATCGTGAGTTTTGTAGGGGGAAGGTTAGTTCGTATCCATGCTGGCTTTGCTTGACTCGTTCGGCTTTGATCTGGTGATCCCGTCTGTATCATTGGGGTAGCGTTGCTAAACAAAGCGGTTTCAATAATAAACATGTATGATTTTGTAAAAGTATGACATAAATGTATAGTTAAAAATAGCTTTTAGACTAACCGACGACTGTGACGTGGTTCAGGACATTGCAATCTCTCCTGCTACGGGATTTTGAGGGTCCTCCTAAAAATTCTGCCCCAGTTTGATGGGTTTGACACTTCTGACTGTTGCTCGTGCGGCGATCGGCTGAAATTACTTCGGAATTTTGAGGGTCCTCCTCAAAATTCTGCCCCAGTTTCCAATTGCGGGGGGAAATGAAATTTTATTGAATTGTGACCGAACCCATAGGGCTGCCTACGTATCCCCTCTTAAACGGGAATCAGGTCAGGCGTAGTTCAATTTACATCATATAAGGAAAGCATAAAGATTACACATAGTAACGTTTGACTGCATCTAAATTGATCGGCTTTGGCCAGACTTCTCCGTCCATTTCTGCAAGTATGAGGGATCCTCCTGTCAAAACCCAGTGAACCATGTATGGACCCTACCAGTTATGAGAGAACTTCCCTTTGGCTTCATCTTGATGCGAATTTTTTTTTTAACACCAGCTGCCCCGGTGTGAACTGTCTTGGCTTGACTCTTTTGTTGAAGGCTCTGGACATTCTGTTCTGATAGAGTTGACCATGCCAGACTACGTTCATTCTCTTTACGTCTATAAAGGCTAGTTGCTCATAACGACATTTTACCCACTCTGCGTCGTCGAGCTCGGCTTCTTATATGATCCTTAGGGAGGGAATTTCCACCTCAGCGGAAATGACAGCCTCTGTACAGTAAACCAGCATATAGGGGGTTGCCCCAGTTGATGTGCGGACTGTGGTACGATACCCTAGAAGAGCAAAGGATAACTTCTCGTGCCACTGTCTGTGATTCTTTATCATTTTCCTCAATATCTTCTTGATATTCTTGTTGGCGGCTTCTACAGCTCCATTCATCTGAAGCTTGTAGGCTGTGGAATTCTTGTGTTTGATCTTGAAAGTTTCGCACATAGCTTTCATCAAGTCGCTGTTGAGATTTGAGCCATTATCAGTAATGATTGACTCTAGAATTCCGAATTGACAAACAATGCGGTCGCGGATAAAGTCTGGCACGACTTTCTTAGTCACTGCTTTGTAAGATGCTGCTTCGACCCATCTTGTGAAATAGTCGATGGCTACTAGGATAAACCTGTGTCCGTTGGAAGCATCAGGCTCGATTGGTCCAATAACATCCATTCCCCAGGCGGCGAACGACCACGGTGAGCTTGTTGTGTTAAGCTCGCTTGGAGGTACCTTTATCATGTCTGCATGTATCTGACAGCGATGGAATTTCCGGATATACTGGATGCAGTCTGTTTCCATAGTCATCCAAAAGTAACCAGCCCGGAGTATCTTCTTTGCTAAGACAAAACCGTTCATATGTAGACCGCAGGTCCCAGCATGAATTTCCTTTAGTAGCCTGGATACTTCCTTTGCGTCGACACATCTTAATAATCCTATATCAGGAGTCCTCCTATACAGGATTCCTCCGATGTGAAAGAAGTTGTTGGACAATCTCCGTAGTGCGTTTCTGAGTAGGATTCGCAAGCTCTGGGTACTCTCCTTTTGCCAAATATTGCCTGATATCATGAAACCAAGGCTTTCCATCTGCTTCCTCTTTGACATGGGCACAGTAAGCTGGCTGATTATGGATTTTCACCGGAATGGAATCAATGAAATTCTTGTCGGGATGTTGTATCATAGATGATAGGGTAGCCAATGCATCGTCAAACTCATTCTGGATTCTAAGAACATGTTGGAATTCCATCTTCGTGAACCTCTTTCTCAATTCATGTACGTGATGCAGATACGGGAGTATCTTGGAGTTCTTGGTTGCCCATTCTCCTCGTACCTGATGTATAAGTAAGTCTGAATCTCCAATCACTAGCAGCTCTTGAACGTTCATGTCAATGGACATTTTGAGTCCTAAGATGCAGGCTTCATATTCGGCCATATTGTTGGTGCAGGGGAACCTGAGTTTGGCAGACACCGGATAATGCTGACCGGTTTTTGATATTAGGACTGCTCCGATGCCAACTCCTTTGAAGTTTGCTGCTCCATCGAAGAACATTTTCCAACCGTCATAGGATTCCGCAATGTCTTCTCCTATGAATGATACCTCTTCATTAGGAAAATACGTTTTCAGGGGTTCGTATCCTCCATCCACGGGGTTTTCAGCAAGGTGGTCTGCCAGTGCCTGTCCCTTGACTGCTTTCTAAGTTACGTAAACAATGTTGAACTCACTCAACAGGATTTGCCACTTGGCTAGCTTGCCAGTGGGCATGGGCTTCTGAAAGATGTACTTCAAGGGATCCATTCTCGATATGAGATATGTCGTATAGGCACAAAAGTAATGTCTCAGCTTCTGAGCTACCCAAGTCAAAGCACAATAGGTGCGTTCCAATAGAGAATACCGGGCATCGTACGGGGTGAAAGTCAGGATTTGAAATTGGGTTCGGCATTATAATTCGTTTAAGTTACTGTGTTCTAAATTAATAATTTATATATATTCAATGGATTTATTAAGATAAATATAGTGTTTCAATCAAATCTACTGGGTTCGGCCAAACCCGCAAACTCTATCCTAACTCCGCCCCTGACATGATGTATAGGCCCTCAACATGATGCAATTTTTTTCTATTGTTCCTATTTATAATGTACTTATTTCAAATACAGTATAACAATCTTATTTGTTTTGATTTTTTTATTGTTGTTACAGCGAAGTGTTATTATATAAAACATATATTATAACATAGTATGAAAATTAGTTCTATAAAAAGCTTGGATATTATGGTGAATGACTGTTATATAGATATTTGACTGTATAAATAAAATAAATGTGTCAAAGCTACTCCTGGAAAGTGCTATTATAATGAATGACTGTTATATAGATGTTTGACTGTATAAATAAAATAAATGTGTCAAAGCTACTCCTGGAAAGTGGAAACCCGAAGTGGGAACTCTTTTTTCACCCAATATTATAACCAAGCTAATCACCATTATCCTTTAATTACTTTTGTATTCTCTTAAAACAATTAGTTTACGGGAAGTTTATAAACTACACAGCATATTGCACAACTATTTCAGTATAACATAAAATATTTCAAGAATAACTATAGAAGAAAATCATCATTTTAATGTTAAATATTAATTATCAATCAACTTCTCATAAGTGGTTGTCTATCCAACATTCACTTTTGTGTTCAGATTTAGAATTATTTATATGAAGTAAAAGCCGTATTAGTTAGAAAATAAAATATTTCAATGGGTCAATGAATAACTTTTTAAGAGAATGCCTTACAAAATTAATTTAATAAAATATAGGAGAAGCAGAAACACCATTTACTTCTCACGTTGAGTGTAGCTCACCAGCCCCATATTTGGGGATAGGCCGAAATTAGGGTTAGGGATTTTCAGATCTGAAAGCAACCAAAAGTCAACTAGTTCATTCCTTTCAAAGTTCCCCACATATATTCACGAGTCAGGGTTTTGGAATTAGGGTTTATTGTGTGTTTGAGTGAAGTGCTTGTTAGGGGTGTACAAGAGGGTAATTTTGAGCTGCCAATGCAATTTGATTTGAAATTGGGAGATTTTTCGGTTATTTTTGGGCCACCGAAAAACCTGCACAACAATGTCTTGGGCAAGTCCAGAGGATATCTATACCTCTACTTCTCTTGCTAGCTATCTTGATAGTGAGTTCCTTTTTTTCTTCGTACTTCATTATGTTTTTCGTTTTTTTATTTCCTCTAATAAAATTGGACCTTAATTGGAGTGAAACGGGTTCCAAATAGAGCAGAATAAATATAGACGATTCATATAGCAAAATGGAACTACGGGGATTGTTATTGAAGTTTGAGGCTAGTAATATGTTCCAGTCAGTGGTCTAAGTTTATCTTTTTTTATTTTCGATCTTGGTTTAATGTTCAGAATGGGTGTGGTCTTACTTAGTTGTGCTACTGGTTATTGGATCTTTAGTGATAGTTTTGATGCATTTTTGGAGGATCTGTTGATGGGTCTTTAATCTGATATAATTCTCCTGATGCTGCTCTGATTTCTGCATTAGAATTCAGTTGAGATTATATGATGAGAAAGGCGTATTTTTGGTCAAATTTGCTGGTATAAATACCTGTTTATATATTGTCAATTGAAAGAAATAGCTTTACCAGAATAAGTGTGATCGACTTGAATTTGAATAACACATTTATTATCACTTTCCATTAACTTAGCTCATACTTTAATGCTAGAATTCTGATAAAGATACCTTCTTTAATGGAAAAACTTAATACCCAGAAAATGTTTAAAGAGTATATGTTTCCTCTGCTTAAAAGAATCAAATGGGACGATGAGATACCTTGGAAACTCCTCTTGAAGGTCTTTTTATTTCTTCAAAAAAAAAAAAAAAAAGAAATACCTTGGAAACTCCTCTTAAAGGTAGAATATATCTCTTCTAGGATTTCAGTGTTAGACTCTTTATTGGAGAGGGCGAGGTGTAGTTTTAATATAAACGGTATAAGGATGTAGCTTCAAAAATTTCACTTCCTTCCAAAGTGCTGTCTGGTGTGTGTCGGATCCTCCAGAAGTTATTCATTTCTCGGAGGATCCGACATGGGTGTAGCGATACATTAGAGGATCCGAGCAACATAGATCCTAGCACTTGTCTGTTCTTGAATGGTGGAGAAATGATTATCCTGTTAATTTCGAGGGTGGCTAGCATTTGACAAGGGTACAGAAAACTAGAAATCATCAATAGATAGATATTTCTATATGCAGTCCCGAGTCTTTCTATATAAAGTGTTGACGTCGAAAGTGTTGCTGTATATCATAGTGATATAGCTCGGTGGACTTTACTATATACCCCCCCCCCCCCCCCCCAGGTGGGTATTTTCCTAGTAAAATGTTGAACACTACTTCAAGAAACTCATACACCTGTTATTAAGATAGTGGAGCAGACACAACGTAACACATTCACATCTGCATAAGAAAAGCAGTTTTTTCATTTTCTGTAAGGCTATGAATCATAGACTGTTTGCAAGTACTGATCTACATGGAGATATATTCCTCTATTCTTAAGAATTTGATATTACATCCTTGACAGAATTAGTTAGTAACAGGGTGGTAGCGTCTATGTTTTCATCTGGGGGGCAAAACGTGAAGTGGGGAAAGCTGCTCATAAAAGCTTTAGGCTGGGAGGATTCATATTACTACTTGTATAAAACAACCAGCATACAAGTTAATGTTGTCATAGTTTTATAGCATGACTTAACCTGGTTTTTGCTCTCTAGGGTCTATTCTTTCTTTTCTTGTTTTGACTGAATATCCTTCACAGAAAAACTTCTTGTGTTGCTGAGAGATGGGCGAAAGCTTTTGGGAACACTTCGTTCTTTTGACCAATTTGGTAGGTTTCTCTTGTCATCATTTCAGTTTAACAGTAATAATTAACCAGCTGAAAGAAATGCTATCTGTCATTTGTAGCTAATGCTGTCCTAGAAGGGGCATGTGATCGTGTTATTGTTGGTGATCTATACTGTGATATTCCATTGGGTCTTTATATTATCCGTGGGGAAAATGTCGTGTTAATTGGCGAGTTGGTATGCATTGCGCTCTCTCTCTCTCTCTGTGACCCCCCCCCCCCCCCCCCCCAATTTCTTTGAAAGCAAGATTGTTTTTTATTTTCTATTCCTGCACCCGTTTGCCTCATAGATTTTCTTCTGACTGATAAGGACGTAGATAAGGAGGAACTTCCACCCCACATGACTCGCGTTCCTGAAGCAGAGATAAGAAGGGTATGGTCCCATTGCTCTTCGTTTGACTAATTAGATGCTTAATGGTCATATTGGAACATGAGAATGCCTTGGGTCCACCATCTGTCTCTGCTGCAACTTTAGGTTTATATTTTTTCTAACATTTTTTAACTCCTAATCTGACTCTTGATTCTTAGAAATGATTTTTATATACCCTACTGTAAAGTTGAAATCTTGTAATCATGTTGGGCTTCACGTTGGTGTTGGTCTTACTACATATCAAAAACCTTATTTCATTTTGCACGTGTTCAGTGATTAAATCCGTCATATAATTGTTGGTTTGCGAATATCAGAACTAGAAGGGTCTGTCTCAGCAGGTTCTTTAATGTTAACTTTGTCAACAACAACAAAAAATCCAGTGTAATTCCACAAGTAGGGGTCTGGGGAGGGTAGTGTGTATGCAGCCTTACCCCTATCTTGTGCAGGTAGAGGGCTGTTTCCGGTAGTTAATGTTAACTTTGTCAATTTCTCTGAAAAATTGTCTATGAGAAGTTAGTGTCATATAAGTAATATTTATTAAATCAGAAGTTGGAAGGCCCCCTGCCACTCCCAAAAGACTAATGAAATATAAATGGAGTTATTCTGCGGTTTTATTTTAATCTTGTCCCTTTTATATGAACATACTTCTAACATTGTAGGGTTATTGAAGAAGGATGGTCTTTGTATTTAGTACTCCATAATGATCTCCAACTCTTATTTAGTTCCTCTGAAAATGGGCTTGATTGATCTTTTATTGAGAATTCTGCATCCATTAATCATTTTAGCTTGTTACTACGGGACCACTGCCTGTTAAAGTCTGTTGGCCTCTGTTTTATTTGCACGTTGCCTAAGTTGTTGACCAGAGCCTTCTATTGTATTTTTGCACTTCTTGTCTGTCTGCCTGACCCCTTCTTTTTAATAAAAAGACTTGCTATACTGATAGGATGATGGAACCTATTAAATGATAACACACAGATATTCTGATATCATAAAATTCTGCACACCCCTCCCCCCCGCCCCGCGAACCACCACTATCCAGGAACCAAATAGGTCTACCCCACTATTGGAGCAAGATATAGTAAAACGCTTGTATTCCATAATTAACTTATTTTCTTGGAACTCATGAATTATATAAAGTACCTTGTTATCCAAAAACAAAGGAATAGTATAGTATGATAATGTTTGCTCCATTTCCTGGATATCATCCGACTTTTAATCTGTTTGGTTCTGTCTAACTCTCTTTATAAATAATGCGTCTGTCTATATCCACCAGGCCCAAAAAGCAGAAAGGGAGGCTACAGATCTTAAAGGTTCAATGAGAAAGAGGATGGAATTCCTTGATATGGACTGAAGTTTCTTGCTGATACCGGTTTCTGCTTGGGATTATGCCATGCCTTCCGCAAATATTATCGCGGTAGCTGGGTGATGGCAAAAAAGTAACTAGAAATGGATTTGTCTTTTCTCACTGGTGTACTCTATTTGGCAGTTCATTGTAACATCTACAGTAAATGATTGCAGGTCGGATGGGTAAACAGGAATTGATGCTATTATCTTTTTATTTGTTCTCCGTTAGATGTTTTAACTATGGTTGGTGCACTCATCTTATGTTAGTACGAGTCCCTGTGTTGGATGATATGCAGAATGCTAGACTACGAAGATGGTAAACATTATCCACAGTTCTTCCATTGTCTTCTTATTTTAGTCTGGAAGAACGTAAACTTCTATGGTAGATTGTATAGACATTCGTCGTTTTATCCTGTTGAAATAACAGCTAATTTTGTTTACATTCCTGTGCTTGGTGTTCCTTGCATTGCTTCGGAATAATTGGTGGTGTGTTTCCTTTTCTGATGTAACAACTTAGCATATAAACTTTGGCAAGTCACTGATAGATATCACTTGGAGTGTAACATGATCTTGAATTTCGTCTACAACTTAGCCCTTGTTTGAAATTCTTAATTTGTTAGTGAATTTGTTTTTGAAAGAACAAAGGAAAAGTACATATAGATTGGACGTTTATGTGTACTATTCTTTCTAGTCAAAACTCAAAAGGATTCGTTTTCCCTTCTATATATGTAAGGCTGTTTGGTGGGCCGGTCTGGGATCGGGACCGGACCGGGCCCGCGGTCCTAACGGGCTAAACGGTCCCGGCGGGCCGGTCCTGGTGGGCCGGTCCCTGAATGGGTAGGAAGCACGTGACGGGCCGGTCTCGTACACGAGGCCCACGAGACCGGGACCGCTAAGCCCGGGACCGGCAGGCGGTCCTGGGCTGGTTCAACCGGGCCTAACGGTCCTAACGGGCTCCAACGGCTATTTTTTTAAAAAATTTTTTTTTTTTTTTAAAAGTTAGCCAACGGTCAGATTTTAAAATCTAGCCGTTGGCCTTTAATTTTCAACCGTTTGGAACTTTAAAAAATAGCCATTTGGCCCCCAAACTTTATATAATTACACTTTTCCCCAATTCTCAACTATAAATACCCCCTCATTCTTTCATTTTTACTCACCAATTCATCAATCTATCTCAATCTCTCTCAATCTATATCTAATTTCTCTTCTATAATTGCTTATTTTATTATTGCAATTTCGTGAAAAATTGTGAAGTTGGTGAATTGAAGTATTCAAGTCTTCAAGTCTTCAACGATTTTCAATTTTCAAGAAGTTGTTCGGTAATTCGGTAAACTCGTTCCAACTCTTAACTTTTAAGAATATATTTTTGTGTGTTTAGTTTGCATAATTGTAATTAATATGGGCATTTTCTTGTGAAAAAAATGTTTGGTTGGTAAGGAAAAGCAAAAATTGGTGAAAGTAGTCTCCAACCTACTACCTTTCCCCGGCTCCCCGACCCAGACCTGTTACCCGTCCTGCTGCTTCCTATTATTCTTGATAGTGATAACCCTTGTTTTCAATTTTCCGATAGTGAATTTTGCCATAATGTTGCACAAGGTGAACAATTAAATGAAGAAGTTATGAATGCTCTTTATCCTAATCAAACTATCTTAGAAAATGATGAGGAAAATGAGGATGTAGATAAACCCAACCGGATTTAGATGATTCACCTACTAGTCCTGTTAATAACCCAACTGATGCCGCCCGACCCACCTGTACAAACCCCTACTTTTAATAGACAACCTTCTAAACGCCTAGAAACATCAATAGTTTGGAATTTTTTTACTCAAGTAAGAGAACAAAATAAGGCTAGGTATAAAACTTGTGGGAAATTGCTGGCGCATAAATATACTGGAGACCGTAGCGGTACGGGTAGTTTGCTAGGCACATACAAACACACCCTAGAGATAAAGTTAAATATTTACAAATGAAAGCACAGCAAGAGGGGACAAGTGTAGATACTGCGGTTAACCCCTAGTACAGGTTCAAATCTAGTTCAACCAGGAATTAACACTGTGACCGGTGGTATTTTTATATTACGATCCTAATAAAGATCGTGAAGAATTAGCAAAGATGGTTACTGTTATGTGCTTATCATATACTTTTCCTTCTAACCCTAATTTTGTGCATATATTAGAAAAGTTTTTAATCCTACTTATAAAGGTTGGCCTCGCGCAACAGTTAAGAGCGATATTTATAAATATAAACATGAATATGAACAATATTTGCGGTATTTATTTACTCATATAACTAATCGGATTTCTATTACTACTGATATTGGTAGAAGTAATAATGACTGTGATTATCTAACTGTTACAAGTCATTGGATAGACGAGGAGTGGATAATGCAAAAACGCATTATTGCGTATAGAATAATTAATTCACGTCACACAGGTAAGTTTATTGCTAACACCGTTGCAGATATTTGTAGATATTTTTGCATTAGAGATAAAATAATGGCAATTTCTATGGATAATGCTTCTAGTAACACTAGTGCTATAGGCATAACATACAATATATACTACAACAAATTATATAATGGAATATAATACATAACATACAAATATATACTACAAGAAAATATATAAGGGAATATATATTACATAACATACAATATATAGTATACTATACTAGTACACTATACTAGTATATATACTAGTATACTATATATATATTATATTTACATGAAGAAGATAGTACTATATATACTACAAAAACAAGATTTTTCAAAATGAGGGCCCCACCCCCAATGACCACCAACGGTCATATTAATTGCACAAATAGCCGTTTTTTTTAAAATTTACAAAACTAACCTTCTCTAACACTATAAGTACCCCCTTCCTCTTCTTCATTTCAATACTCAATACTCATTTCTCAATCTAAATTTCTCTCAATCTCTCAATCTCCAATTTTCAAGACTTCAAGTCTCAATCTCAATTTTCAAGTTAAATCATGCCTCGTTCGGAAAGAGTGCGCTTATTTGTGTCGCAATACTATGAAGTGCTTGAAGAAATGAAGAAGGCCAAATATTAAAGTGCAAGAACTGTGGAAGAGTCTTAAATTTTCGTTCAGGGTGTACCACAGGCATTTTAAGGAGGCATATAAAGTATTGTGTTGAGGGTATTTATCCGCAAATTCGTCTTTAAGATTTTTCAACAATTTGTGTTATTTTAAAATTATTAGACGTATTTATGCTTCATGTTGTACTTTGTTATTAATTTATTATGCATGCCAATTTAGTTTTACTATTGATTTGTTATTTTACATTTTCGTCAAACACTTTAATAATTAGATTTCTATATTATATATACCACATATATTTATATAGCCATGCATAAGAGCAATTTATATATATACATACACATATGGTTTACAAGAAATTGCCCTAAATAAAAAAATTAAAAAAAAAAAGTACGGAAATAAAAAAGGCCCGTTAGGCCCGCTAAGCCCACGAGCCCGGCCCATTTAGCCCAGGACCATATGGGCTTAGGCCCGTCACGGGCTGGTCCTACCCGTTGAGCCCACGAAGCCCGGGACCGCGAAGCCCGGGATCGCCAGAGCCCGGGACCGCTAAGCCCAGGCCCGTTTAGCCCGGCCCGTTTAGCCCATTTAGGCCCGGGCCCGGGACCACATACAGCCTTATGTATATGTGGCGTTACGGCGGAAATGTCTGAGAAGGGTAGGATGTACGCAACCTTACCACTACCCTGGTAGGGCAGAGAGATTGTTTTGGGAAGGCCCTCGATTAAAGAGAAGATGTAAGAAGCACTGATGGCAAGTAAAGTAAATCCAAGATAACAAAGGGGAAGATGAAAGAAGTACTCATCACAAGTAATAACAATGCAAGATATATAATGATATCAAACTAAAGGGATACTGAAGGCAAGTACTAACAATACAAGATTGTAAGTAAAAGGGATACCATACTAACACTAATATTTTTGAACTAAGGAAGACAAAGGGAAACACTCAACTACATCCTAACCTTCTACCCTAATTCTCAACATCCACACCTTCCTATCAAGGGTCATGTCCTCGGTGCGTCACGGCATAAAGAAAATGAAAATAAATAAAGGGAATGATTAGTTTAATTTGATGAAGTAAAGGAAATTAACTAAAAGGTTAAAAAGTATTCTCGTCTTTGATTGCTTTCCAATTGGAAATTACGAGTGAGAAAATGTTAATATTCTGGAGTTTGCTAGCCATCATTGAGCCAAAAGGGTGCGTGTATCATTTGAACTTGTGTCATGTCTTATAAGACACTTCACATTTCTATCTCATTCTGAAGTGGAATTCGTCTGAGGTGACATGTGCATTCCTTCTTCAGAAGCTTGTCGACCTAGAAGCCTGCCAGTCCTGCTTGACCTGCCCTCATCAGCCCGCCCGCCCTCCGTCATGGGTATCACACGTCATCCATGTTGACATAGAACTCGCTGCACTATAGTCGTCCCCAGGTCTTGCTGGTCAGTGATTTTGGCTATGAAATAAATGAATATTTCAAAGTCGTGGTCATCCTTCGATTCTATTCTAGAGTTTCAAGTCTTTTATGTTGACATAGACTTCCTCGTTCATGTTAAACACAAGGCAGTCTTAAATGTCAGCCTTGACTCAGTAAAAAAGGTTCAACGAAAACGTTAATTGATCAAAGAAAGTCAAGTATTCCTTAACTGACTAGTCAATGCTTCTACCATTGACTTAAAATGAATATCCTTATTTTTCTTTACTTCAGGATTTAGAACTTAAAGACGACCAACTCTTGAATTTATTAAAACGTGGCAAATAAACATTCTTAAAAGTGAGAAGGATAAGCAATTAGATAATTAATTTACTATAATTGGGGTCGACAAACCAAGTTCTCTATACCGTAAAGCTTGAAGTGTTTGTTTATTTTTTATACACCAAACCTAGAAACAAGCTAGGGAAAATTTTCTATTGTTACCCATTCTGAGTTGTTCCTTCAATTTCCTACAATACATTAGAATGCACATTGCAATTCTTAGAATTGGCGGCCGAAGACAAACTCTTTAATAGACTACCTATTATAGGCAGTGGCGAATCTAGAAATTTTTCCAAGGGTGTTCAAACTTGAAAGAAATAAAAAAAAAATTACCGACAAAGAGTGTTCAATATATGTTATATACCTCTAAAACATAATATTTAACCTATATACACAATTTAATTTTCTCGTAAGGATGGTCAGTTTAATTTGGTGTAGCTTCGCCCCTGATTATAGGAACGAATCAAAACTAGAAAGGATGGTTGACCAAGTGTCAGCCTAACTTGACTTTTCAAATATACGGAAGCATAACAAGAATCATGTTTTCCTGAACATGGTAACATAGGAACTAGGAAAGACCAGCTAACAGAAAAGAAGAAATATTGGCAGCTACCCTCTTATAGCATGTTT